GGAAGGAAGGAAGGAAGGAAGGAAGGAAGGAAAGAAGGAAGGAAAAAGAAAAAGAAAAGAAAAAAGAGAGAAAGAGAGAAAGAAAGAAGGAAAGAGAAAGAGAAAGCGTGCCGGCCCTCCAGCACCCCCGAGCATCTCGTAAATGTCCAGTGATTTTCTCTGCCAGTGCCAAACTGGCTTGGGTAATTTCTTTCCCGGATGAGGCCAAGTTTGTTTTGCTTTATGTTTGTGGCCATCCAGGCAGATGTCCAAGGGGCGTGTTGGTACTTCCGACTCACTCTCTGAATTCGGGGAGAGCTGCATTCCAGGTCTACGCTGGCTCCCAAACTAGACCAGAAATATACATTTCAGTTAATTTGGGTTTTCGATGGTGGTTCTCTTTCCGCTTATTCCCCCCGAAGGAGTCCCAAGAGCTGAAGGATTGATTGCCCATCGATCAAAGCCAGCTACTAGCTTTGAAATGCCGTGTCTTGAGAAAGGGTATGTTCTAAATCAGTTAAAGATACGGTCTAAGATGAGCCCTGTTATCGACTATAGGTTTATACATCAAGAAGGATGCATCTGACATCTGACCTCAGCCCACCCCATGGGAGCACATTCCATCAGGACAGAGTAGTGACAACTGGCCAGAGACCTCTCTCCCCCCAGTCCCCTGCGCTCCCCAAGACACAGGATGGTCCTAGTCTTCAATCTCCACCTGCACAGGTCCGAGATCTTTCTTCTGAGATGGGGAAACCCAAAGTTATTTCTCCCGCTGTATGGTGTTCTGAGGACGGGGACAAGGGATTTCCACAGGCAGATGGTCCTAGTCTTCAATCTCCACCTGCACAGGTCTGAGATCTTTCTTCTGAGATGGGGGGACCCAAAGTTATTTCTCCCACTGTATGGTGTTCTGAGGACGGGACGAGGGATTTCCACAGGCGCCACGTCTACTCGTGAGACAAAGCCACCTGCCCGGTTAGCATGTTGCTCAAGCGTCTGCTGGGCCCGCAGCCTGGTTTGCTCGCTCTTCCTCCACCCACGTCCCTGGAGGTCACCGTGTGCTCTGCTTCTTACTAAACTTGTCCGAAGCCCAGGGACCTAGGAGGAGGCATGGAATGGCCCCGCAGGAACAGCCTCTGCAGCTCGGAGCTTCTGAGATGCGGCAAAGCAGAGTCGCTCGGCCAGGTCACAGGGTCGGCGAGAGTCTTGTGAGCCGCGGAGGTAATGGCACCTCCACTCTTGTGGGTAGAACAGTGACATGGTGACAGTCCGCTTCCGAATGGGATACTTTCTATGAGGAGAGGCTGCAAAAGTATCACAAGCTTGCCTGCTTGAAATTCAGAAGGTTTTGACCAAACTCAGGGATAACAGAAAACACTGTTAATCCTGAGTTCCTGTCCTGCCACGACGTGGGGTCAGTGCAGACTAGCACGACTTATTTTGCATATTCAGGTTTTTCCCCTAACTTCCCTGTATTCTCCTCAGTCACCCAAGTCATCTATTTCCCCAGGACTTGGAGAGTAAGGTACTGATACCCGCAGCTCGATGCGGGAAGCTGATAAAGAGTCCCAGGCGCTGAGAGCTCTCAGTGTCCGGCACATGCCCACCTTTGCCCGCCTCTCTCCTCGGACCCTGGAGCTGTCCTGAGCACTGGAGCTACCAGCTACCGCCACCATCCAGTCCTGTGCTGTGCCCGAGGCCACACGACTCATTTATGTGCTCGCGTGCTGGACAGAGACTTTGGTCATTCTTCTCGGCGTGTAAAACCCACAGTGGATCACAGGTCCTCATCTTAGACTGCATCTTTAATTGATTGATTTAAAACAAATCCCTTCCTAGGACACGGAATCTCAACATTAGCAGGTGGCATTGAGGGGTGGGCAATGCCTCAGCTTTTGGGGACCCATCTGAACTGGGTGGAGCCGTCTGTCTCCCTTCTGAAGTGGAGGAGGTCAGTGCGTGGTGGCCCGCCTCCGGGAACGCAGGCACAGAGTCGGAGCTTGCCAGGACGTGGGCGTGGCAGCCAGGGGACCTGACGGATGCCTGACAACAAATAAGGCATGGCCCTCCTGGGGCCTCTATTTAAAGGGCTTCGATGGGTCCCAGAGGCCCCTAAATTCTCAGGGTTCTTGCGTCCAGAATAGCCACAGAATTATCCAGCTGGTGCTCAGCCGATGATGGCCCAGGGCCCGCTGGCAGCATTGGAAGTGGACAGGGCCCAAGGCTTTCTGTGGCTTCATAAATAGCTTCGTGCAATAGATGGTTTTAAACACCTGCGTGGAAACCTCGTTTTCCAGGGGCACCAACAACTTTGATTAAGTCTTCTGGGTGGCGTAACGGGCGCCTAAGGTGGGCATCACTCGGAGTTGGTGGCGTGTGTGCCGAGCACCAGGGGAAAACGATCAGATGAGGAAGCTGGTCGTTCTCACGAGCCTCATTTAGCGTTCGGTCACGTTCACACTCGCGCTACACACGCACGCGCACGCGCACTGGAAGAACTCCCCGACCGCCTCGGACTAAGTGGATTCGACCCCTGTTTCTAAACTGTGCATTAGCATGGAATGGGGAGCTTTCTGGCGAGCTCGCCGAGCCATCTGCTCCGCTGCCCGTCGCCGCCGCCAGCCCGGGTGCTGAGGAGTCCGGGGTCTCCGGGAAAATACGTGCCACGGACATCGCGTTTCCAGGAACCGGCGTGATTCGCTTTTCATTTCGGGATGATAGAAAGTCTCATGTGTCATTCCCAGTGTGGACGTGGAGCCGTGAATGACGTCTCATTCTTCAGAAGGGAGAGGGATGCGCTGAGAAGGACAGGCGATGCCGGAAGCTTCCATTGCTTGGCGTCATATAACTTCACCCACGTGTCACCGCAGGCAGTGAAGTGGGCTGAAGACGCCCTTTCATCTGATAGTTCACAAGGGGGTGGGAATCTCAAAACCTGCCCGGTTAAAATGATTTCTTCTGTAATAGGAAATAAACGCCTAAGAGAGGATTCGGGGTGGGGTCTGGCTGCGTATTGCGCACCAGTGAACGGAGATGGGGGTGACCGCATTTTTCCTACTAACTTTGGGTGATTATCAATTCAACGTGCTCAGGATGCTAACCGTGCCATCTCCAGCTGGAGAGTCTCCTTCAGAACGTTTACATGTGAGGCGTCCCCGGGTTTCTGGGGCGTGGCACCTCATTCTGGAACCCAGGCCAACGAATTCATCCATCCGGCACACGCCCCCAGCCTCCAGCCTCCGCCGCCTCTCACGTCAGCAGCCGAGCTCAGGCAAAGTCTTCTTCTAGGGAAGGAGGAGGCAGCGGGGAGCAGACACGCAGCCACGGGCTCTGCGCTCACAGAGAGGGGCTCGCACATCCTGCTGCCGCGGGTCACTGCGGAGTCACACGCAGCCCTCGTTTCTTTAGGAAGTGGGTGTTGTAAGAAGTGTGTCTATTCATTGTGGCAGCCTGGGCGTCCGAGGCCCCCACGGCGTTCTTCTCTATGTGGAGAGAATTCTTTTTCTGTTCCTAAAACAACGAACCTTCTATCTTCCAGCTTGGCCGGTCTTAATAGTTTCGTAGTAAAAAAAAAAAAAGAAAAAGAAAGCAGAAAACAAACTAAGATGGGGGCGGAGAAGAAGACTGGACTGCGCCGATAACGTGACCCCAAACTCAAGTTAACCTAACGAATCGGGGCCGGACTTAGATTTGGGATTTTCCTTCAAGTTCGGCTTTAGTAAATCAGCTGCCTTCCCACGCAGCAGCCTCTGGAGTCCAATCCAGGGCCTCTCGTCACTTTTAATTACACTGTCTGGCCAGGTCCGAGCCAGCTCTCCAGACCACTTGGAATAAGAGCCGACCGCTGGCCCTGAGTGTCCAGATAAACTCGTGTTTGCTCAGAAGGCGAAGCACGAAGTCCATGTGCTCGAACGGAAAGCTCCCACCAGCCAGTTCAAGGTCACCTCCCAGATCCTTCCTCTGATGTGGAGCCGTTACGGGGTGGACACCCGCACACCTGGATTCCAGGCTCTCAGCGGACCAGCATCCTGAAGTTCAAGGCAAATTAGCACCTGAGGCGTCCATCTCTGAGGAAACCGGGGCTTGAAGACTAAAATATTCGCCTTACTATTATTTACCTTTTTAAAGACAGACTTCACAGGTTACAGACCCGAGGAATTCATATAAGTACACGCATGTGTGTGTGTGTGTGTGCGTGTGTGTGTGGGGGAGACAGACTTCACAGGTTACAGACCCGAGGAATTCACATAAGTACACGCATGCGTGTGCGTGTGTGTGTGCGTGTGTGTGTGTGGGGGTGTGTGTGCGTGTGTGTGTGCGTGTGTGTGGTGTGTGTGTGTGGTGTGTGTGTACACGAGTTATAGTGTGCGTGTGTGTGGTGTGTGTGTGTGGTGTGTGTGTACACGAGTTATAGATAACAGCAAAGCAGGAGATGCAGAAATAGGGCAGCTAAGCTGCTGCTTCGAGCGTGAGCAGGCGGAGTGTCGTGTCTGGAGTAAGTCCTGCTTTCTAGTCTAGACTTCTGCTTTTTGAAAAGCATTTCTCAAGTCACTGGGGATAGTAAGAAACCTCTTCTTGGACGAGTGAGGGGGAATAAATGAAGGGATTTTAAGAAGCTTCTTCTCTGGGTTGCAAATCCTTCCACACACATTTCCACGAGCCTGCATGGACGCTGCCGGCCGTGCGCATCCGTCACCACTGTGGGATGAAGCTGAGAGTTCGATTAAGTTACACACGGCCAGGTATTTGTTTCGGGAAAACCTGTGCCACGTGAAATGAACGGTTTGATTTAAGCGTGTGCTGTGACTGTGACAGGAAGCAGCCCAACACACGGTGGCAATGCTGCAGCGTC